TAGTAATATGTACTTCCAGACTAACACTTTTCCCCTTCAAAAGTAGAATTTAAAGGATAAGCATCTAACCAGCTAGCAAAATTCAACATTTCATTTATTTCAAAATCGATTTTATTGCAGCCAAAACAGTGGAATTAACTGTACATAATAAACTATTATATATATATACACATTAAGTTATAGGGAATAAAGTTTATTTTGGCAGATAGTGTTAAACAAAATTAAAGTTGCATACATTAGTAACATAACTCAACATCCTTAATTTGGTATAAGTGTAACACATTTTCTTGCTTTCCTGTGTTCCGCTCAATCACCATACCTAAACTGCTTTATAAAACTGATAGGCTGAAATTTAACTTTATTGTTTTCGCTTACGCTCTGATTCCAAACAAAACTTTTCATAAGCTTCTTCTATCTCTGGGTCCATCTCATCATCAATATCATCCAAGTATCTGTAAAAGAAGCAAAAATGATTCCTGTTTTTCTTTTGTTTGCTCAAAATATTAAGAGGGTACAAATGTTTTTGGTTACATGGATTGCTTTTGTAATGCTTAATTCATGACTGTTAAGTGTGCCTCATCACCCAGATAGTGTTCACTGTACCCATTAAGTAGGTTTTTGCTCCTTCCCCCACTATGGTTTTTTTTTATTTTTGAGACAGAGTCTCAAGCTGTCGTCCTGGGTAGAGTGCCGTGGCATCACAGCTCACAGGAACCGCAAACTCTTGGGCTTAAGTGATTCTCTTGCTTCAGCCTCCTAAGCAGCTGCAACTACAGGTGCCAGCCACAACACTCAGCTATTGTTGTTGTTGCAGTTGTCACTGTTGTTTTAGCTGGCCTGGGCTGGGTTCAAACTGGCGTCCTACCCACCGAGCTATGGGCACCACTCTTCCATTACGTTTTTTAATTCAGAAGGTATGTGAGATGCTAAGCCATGAAAAGACAATATAACATAACTTTCCTAGACTGAGTTATAACAGACCTCAAACCTAACTTCAGATTACATAAATGACAGTCTTCATACAACCAAATGCTTAATGTGATAAGTGAAACTTTACACTGAATCCCTAATATCTAATAATTCTGCTATACATTTAGGTATGTTAAATTCTATAACTTAGAAGTTTAATCAAAAGGTTTGACATGTAAACTTAGGGCTCAAGATTGATATTAATATATTCACTTGGCTCGGCGCCTATAGCTCAACCGACTAAGGCGCCAGTCACGTACACCTAAGGTGGTGGGTTCGAATCCCCAGCCCGGACC